AAAAAAAATTGAAACATTAATTGGAGAAGTCAGTAAAGCCCGACCAGCTACACACTGTCTCTGTCCGTTCAGGACAGTGTGGCATGAGCAAAACGGCTTATAATGGCTTAAGATGTAGAAAAACTTTCCAAAACTTTGAAAGAAACGTACACTTGATAACAGTTCTTCTCCCATGAGTCAGATCATACTTACACAATGGAAGCTGATAAGAAATCTAAAACATAATCCAATGTGAGAGATTACTTAGTCATTAGATTTACTTTCCTTAGTTATGTGGCAGAGAATTAGGGAAGACAAATATATTAGAATAAGGAAGAAAGTAAGTAAATATTTTTTCTGCAACCTGGCACCCCTGTAGAATAGCTACAGGGCTTGGTATTCTGACATTTAGAGGTAAACCTGTGTGGGAATGGCTGAAGTTCTTTAGCTGGGTAACACCCATAAAACCCAGCTAGGGAACTCTAATGGCTTCAGTGGGCCTCAGGTCCTTTTTTCTGTCATTAAGTAGAACAAGAAGACTACTTCTGATGTCCTCTAATGCATTAAATACGCTGTGTTGTTAATGCCAGCGAATTAAACCCAAAGCCCACAATGGCCTGCTCGCCTATTAGCAAAGGAGAACTTGAAAGAAAAAGAATGAATCTGATCTTCAAAGATGCTGATGTACCCACAAAAACTGCTTCTTCATATCACAGCCTTACACGCTACCCTCAAAAAAGTAATTCGAAAACTAGTAATTGCCAAGGTGGTTTCAAAACCAGAACCAATTTTATGTAACCTTCAAACCTTTAATTTTCAGAAAACAAGGTGAACTCTCCATTTTGCTTAGCACAATGTTTTGAAATGAACCGATTACTAACAACCTTATCATAGCCCAATCTGCATAAAGCTATGCCGTACTCTTTCACGTAAAATGCAGTGCTGTAGAGCCACGCTAGTTTATTTTAGCAATCTGTGAGACATTAGTCTTAAATGTGTCACTGTGCTGCAAGTTCCTGATATCAGCTCTCTGAGCTTGTCCTTGGCACAGCATCTGTGTGGTAAGCAGGTGTGGTCAATTGTCCATCTTCACCCTGTTTAAAACAACATTAATTTTTTAGTTTTGTCTAG